GAAGCAAGTTACTGTGAGATTTCATATTTTCACGGCGGTGAATAAGATGATGACTGTCTTCTAGAATGTTGCGCCATGCAGTTTCGTAGAAAGTGACTGACGTTTCAGAGGTGTTTACTGCTTCCATCATCAGGGATGTCCTCACCTTTTCCACTACAAAATACTTGCACCTGTACCCTGTATTTATTTCTTCCAATATATAAGAAAATGTAAGATTTGAGGTTTTCACAGCGGTGAGTATAAAGATTTCTGTCTTCGTATAAGAAAATGTTAAGAAAACAAATCGAGTCTTGTGATGTTTTCACTTTGTACACTAAATAACGTAGTGTCAGAAGACGATAGCAGTCGATTAGCTTGTCAAAAATTTACTTCGAATAAAGTATTTGCTGTATTTTAATGTCTGCATTTAGTGCTCACTATAATTTATTTACTGCAGTCATTTTTACAGAACTTTACATCAGTAATTGCAATCTGTAGCGGATTTGTTCATTTTATCGTCACGTGAACAAACGCACTCTAAGGCTTGATGACCGTTAGCACACATCACATGTGAACTAAAATTGATCAATTTAATTAATCAGCGTATTACTGAAAACACTACAAACCTACATGGAACGATCAGTTCCGAGAATAATATATTACAGGTACTTTCCCTTCAAAAGATTTTTTTAGGGTAGTGGAAATTACAAAATTAATAATGAAATAATTTTGTGACCTATCATTGTGCACCATTATCATGAACTATGCAGCATTAAGCTTCAGTGCTTATCTGAAGACCTTCAGGTGTAACTGTTAATTAGTTCCGTCATAGAATTTACTGTATTAAATTCCGGAGGGGGATATACCATTACACCCAGAGTGTCTTATCTTGCAGCCTCGTTTATGAAAACGAAAGATTAACTGTGGCCTATACAACGATAATTTTATTTGACAAAGTTTGAAAGTTCCTGGTCATTGTGCGACACATTGAGTACGACTGGTTTTCTTTTGGACTTCTCTCTCCACCGCATTTCTTTGTGCTAAAACCACGACATTTCGGAAATGGGTTCTATTTCCGTTTCCAGGCTACAGGGTAAGAAGAAATCCCTATTCTGTTGAGATCCCTGTTAGGGTTAGTCTGCGCCCTGAACCTGACAACCGATTTGGGAAAGGCCTACAAAAATAATGGTTTCTCCATGACCGCTTTAAGGCAGTACTGGGCACTGCACAAAGTATGATCTTGTGTACCCGTATTTAAATTAAAAAATCTTACAATTTTATAACAGTACAATATATATAT